ACAAGATGGAGTGCATAGCTTTTCTTCTTGTTTTTTAAAATATATTTTATTGATTTTTTTACAGAGAGGAAGGGAGAGGAATAGAGAGTTAGAAACATCGATGAGAGAGAAACATCGATCAGCTGCCTCCTGCACATCTCCCACTGGGGATGCGCCTGCAACCAAGGTACATGCCCTTGACTGGAATCGAACCTGGGACCTTTCAGTCCGCAGGCCGACGCTCTATCCACTGAGCCAAACCAGTTAGGGCTTTTCTTCTTGTTTTGATCTTGGTGAAAAAAACTTGTAATAATTCACCATTCCAGAACAAAAAGAACTGTGACTTATGATTTACCATTCTCATAAGCTGATATGTTACATTATAAAAATTCATGTTCTATTTTATTTTAGAAAAGATTTTAAAATTCTGTTTAGGAAAAGAAGGACATTATTGGCACATCACAGTGAACACGCCGAAGGTCATCCTCTGCTGGGGAGGAAATGTTATGATGTGAACGAGGCCACCCACTCTGCTTATTTCTCCACAACCCACTAACTACAACAAAGTGAAGGAGATTTTCAACTCCTAGCAGATAACTACAAGGTGTTGAGATTTCACAATAGCTACAGACCCACTTGGGAAACAGAGACGAAAGATAACACTTTTTTTTCAACCAAAGACTTCTGGCTAATGTGAATCTAGCTGGGATTGTTTTGTAATTTCAACATGCAGTTAGGATGATAATACAAATGTTAAGATCAATATTAAACAAGAAATCAACTTCAGTTGTGCTCATGTGGGTAGGTCTACAATTTTCTCTACAGCTTAAACATTTGTTTTCTGCTGAACTTTTACTTGGACATGGGTTTCATGAGGACATTGCTCTTTAGACTCATACCATTTTCAATATTTCTGAAATCCTGATCAGTGTTAATAAATATATTGTTTTAATATTCTACAGGAAATTTCCAAAGTTAAAATAGGAAGTTATATGGGAAAAATTTAAGCAAGCTCTAAATGTCCTAATCAAATGTAATTTGTATTAAAATAACTAATAAACTTTCCCTATTGTATATTTAATGATTTATTTCAGTATATTCTACTAGAGGCCCGGTGCACAAAAATTTGTGCACTGGGGGGGGGGGGGTCCCCTCAGCTCGGCCTGTGCCCTCTCGCAGCCTGGGACCCCTCGGGGGATGTCCACCTGCTGGCTTAGGCCTGCTCCCTGGGGGATCGGGCATAAGCTGGCAGTCAGACATCCCTCTGGCAGCCCAGGAGCCCTTGGGGGATGTCCACTTGCCAGCGGGGAGCAGGCCTAAGCTGCAGTCGGACATCCTTAGTGCTGCTTGAGGAGGCGGGAGAGGCTCCTACCACCACCACCACCACCGCTGTGCTTGCAGCTGTCAGCCTGGCTTGTGGCTGAGCAGAGCTCCCCCTGTAGGAGCGCAATGACCACCAGGGGGCAGCTCCTGCATTGAGTGTCTGCCTCCTGATGGTCAGTGTGTGTCATAGTGACCAGTCATTCCCAGTCGTTCTGCTGTTAGGGTCAATTTGCATATTACCCTTTTATTATATAGGATAGAGGCCTGGTGCACAGGTGGGGGCCAGCTGGTTTGCCCTGAAGGGTGTCCTGGATCAGGGTGGGGGTCCCGCTTGGGGTGCCTGGCCAGCCTGGGTGAGGGCTGAGGGCTGTTTTCAGGCTGGCCACACCCCCCGGCGACCCAAGCTCCCAGCCTCTCCTTGAGCAGAGGCCACGGCCGGCTGGAAGCAGGTATCTGGGATTTATTTATCTTCTATAATTGAATCTTTTTAGCCTTGAGTGAAGCCCAGGGCCGGCCAGGGCAGGCGGGAAGCTTGGCTTCCTCCATCGCCAAGGGTAACCCAAGCCTCCTGCTTGCTCCAGTTCTGTGGCCGCTGCCTTCTTAGTTGGGTTAATTTGCATAATTGCTCATGATTGGCTGGTGGGTGTGGCTTGTGCATGTAGTGGAGTGGCAGAGTGATGGTTAATTTGCAGGTTTCTTTTATTAGTGTAGATTACTTTTACTCATCAATTATCTATTTCCAATACCATCAAAGAGAAAAGTTTAAGTCCTTACTCATCAGAAAACATTTTACTAACTTTAAAGTATCCGAATGCTCTGATCTATTTTTAACAATCCATTGCTAGTAACATGATAGAGTCATTACCAATATTGCTAGCAGATTTTTAAAAGCTAATTAAGTGCATTAGAAGCAGTAAAAATCAGCCACTTATTCATCATCATAAAAACAAAGATAAATGAATTAGACTTTATGTAACTAAAGGATGTTTCTTTTGGAAAATATTTACATATGAACTTTTAATTAATTTACGAACATAATGGATATCATTTGCTAAGAAGAACAAATGACAATGTGAACTGAGACTAGCATCACAATAAAATTAAAGGTGTACTTTATCAAAATAAGCAATTTACAGCAGAGTGTTCTTATAAGCCAACATTTAGTAAAACCATAATCTGGCTAAGGTAAAAATTTTGTATTAGAATTGTAATTAATTCAACATGCTGCCCAGTCTATTCCACTCCTATTTCTGCTCACCTGGAGATGGTACAAAGCCAAGCAGGAAAGTATGCACATAACTGTCATAGGCACCAGCAAAGGTGTTGGACAGCTGCATGAGTTGAAGGGAGAGGGCTGTCCCCTCCGTTTATGTCAGTTTTGGAGGAAGGAATTCAAATGCATGACCCGGGACCATTCCGTTGTAGTAAAGCCAATTTATTAAAGAAGTAAAGCAAGTAAGTTTAATAAAGAAGCAAGGCAAGCAAATCTATATACTTGGCTTATGAAGAAACAGATGGACTTCCCAGCTAGTCTGAGAAGCGAGCCTGGCAGAAGTTTGGCTTTTTATATTTTTCTGTCTACAGCAGCGGTTCTCAACCTGTGGGTCACGACCCCTTTGGCATTGAACGACCCTTTCACAGGGATCGCCTAAGACCATCCTGCATATCAGATATTTGCATTACGATTCATAACAGTAGCAATATTACAGTTATGAAGTAGCAACGAAAATAATTTTATGGTTGGGTCACAACATGAGGAACTGTATTTAAAGGACCAGAAGGTTGAGAACCACTGGTCTACAGGTTTTAAAATTCCTCTGCTGGATATCTTGGTACAGATTAACTCTTTTTTAAAAAATATATTTTATTGATTTTTTACAGATAGGAAGGGAGAGGGATAGAGAGTTAGAAGCATCGATGAGAGAGAAGCATCCATCAGCTGCCTCCTGCACACCCCCTACCGGGGATGTGCCTGCAACCAAGGTACATGCCCTCGACCGGAATCGAACCCGGAACACCTCAGTCCCCAGGCTCTATCCAGTGAGCCAAACCGGCCAGGGCCAGGTTAACTCTTAACATCTCCCTTTTACTTTGCTATGGCTTTCCAGAATTTATGAGAAGCATCTGGTGATTTTATCTCTAACAAGCCCCAAGACTGTTGGCTTCTCTGTTTAAACAGCGAGATGAAAACTCCCTCCTTTTTTCTCCTTCTCCAAAAGGCTGACTTCTTTGTTTATTGGGTGAGATAAATTTCTCCCTTCTTTCTCCCCATTCCCTCCTCCTGCCTTAGCAGTTCCAGGGTGATTTACACTACGTATTCCCTGGTTAAGGAAAAGAGGCATTAAAACTCCCCCTTCTTTACTGAATTCTTTGGTTAAAGAGGAGAGGTATTAGCCATTTGTTCTCAAGATAAGGTTTTGCTACAACTTGGCTGAAAGCTTTCTAAATTGCTTGGTCTTGTTTAATTTTCTTATCTGAGTTTCCCTATTCCTTCTGCCCTAGAATTTTCTTAGCATCTCACTATTCTGTAACATAATTATTTAAGTCAAATAACTTGTTCATATATATATATATATATATATATATATATTTTTTTTTTTTTCTTCTTAATCCTTTCACCTTTTTCACCTAGTCCTGCAACCTCCAGGTATCATCATAATGTAAGGGAATGGTGTGAAAATGCTAATATTCCATATCTACGCAAGCTTCATTTTAGACTGATGTTGAAGTGATTAGTCTTATTTCTCATGTGAACACACACCTTTCCTTATGAGAATGAAGTTTTCGTGTTTTAATCATGGCAGCTTTCCTGTAAAATCTGCCAGGCTGGTATCATTCCCATTTCACAGATGTGGGCCCAAGCCAGTACCACCACCGTCTGTATCCTACCCTCCTGGGGCAGTTTTTTTGAGCAAAGAACATGACCTGCCTTCAACTGTGCTGGTTTTGATGAATCAAGCAAGGGGACAGCTTTCTCCCTTATCCTATTCCCTCTACCCAGAATTATTTTCATTTGCTAAAACCTTACTCATCTAGGTTTAATTCAGAAATCACCTCTTCTCTGAAATAGATTCTACGAAGTGGATTTAGTTATTCCTGCCTGTTCCTCACAATTCTTTATTCATAGCTATTGTAGTAACATGCATCACACCAGATCATGGTGATGACATGCGTGTCCCCTTCCTCCTGCGGAACCTCTGCATCCCTCTCACAGAGCTTGTTACAGGGTTGGCATGAAGTAGCTATTCAATGATTTTTTTAAAAAAAAATTAATTAAATAAGTGAGGGCACGGATAAGTCAACAGGTAAGAAAAACTAGACATTGTAACCATTCAAATCCTTGAAGTAGACCCTGTCAGTGAGAGAGGAAATACTTAAGAGTGAGGAAGAAGTCAAAATAAAAAAGTGATTTTAAAATGTAGATAAAGGAGAAAAAGAATTGGCCTAAAATCCAACCAATACCAGTCATCACAGGGAATGACACAAGTAAATGTAATCAGAAGCAGGCACATTAGCATACAAAGAGAAGGATTTCATTCCTGAATAGTCGAGGGTTTCTTGTTTTAGTACATAATTTTCTTAAATGCACTCTTTAAGACAGGAGGAAAGATGAGAAGGATATTTTTGATAAGAGAGAGGTCAGCCAGAGAAACAACCTCAGTGAGTACTGGTAGTTCAGGTATTCTCTCCAGAAAGGGTTTCAAACAGCACACCTTTTATTATCAGTCTGGTGAGGGTGGAAATGTTATAACTATCAAAAGGAAACAGACTTTGAGTACTTACCTCAGGCAAATAGTTTGCCAAGAGTTTTCATAGATTTTCATATTTTCCTAATGTGAGTTAGATATCCTGGTCCCCATTGTACAGTCAGGGAAATTGAAGATCAGAACAACTGAATGAGTTGCTGAGGTTGCACATTTTGTGGGGAGCTTTGATCAAACTAAGTATGGGGCTCCTCCTATTATACCCTACAACCACCAGTTTCTGTGTTCGGAAACATTGTTACTCACCTATAGCATTACATTACAACGATTCCCATTTTAAGTCACTTTGGTTAGGCTATTTCACATTTGCTAAATTGTAATTTGAGGATTCCTTTCATGTGAAGTTGAAGAATTTGGCTGTATTCCTTGGGCATCTCATGGAAACCACGTTTAGGCAAACTGTTGTCATAGTAGTGATGGCTGACAGGTGTGTCCTGCACAGTTTTGGAGAAGGGCCAAAATCCATACAGTTTCACGTTCTCACACAGCTCAATGGCCACACTCGCGATCATCAAGCCAGAGGACAGGCGGTACTCTGTCACGCCTTTAGTTCTCCAGAAGAGGGCAAGATTCCTCAGGTACTTGGGATGGAAATATATAACCTTTTGTCTTGCCTTAGATTCTTCCAGCGTGCTGTACACTTTAAAAGAGGCAAAGGTGTTGGCCCTGAAGGAGAACGCCGGCAGCAGAAGAAATGCATCTCCATAGGCTTCGATGTCCTCTAGAAATACTGCTTTCTTTTCGTTTAGGTTCCCATATCTGCCAAATGTAATAATGATAGTAATAATAGTAATATTAATCATCATCATCAAAGTAGTGGTTTTGGTAACACAGGCTAAGTTTACCTCTAGCCAAATAAATGGAACCATGCATATCACTGTACATAAAAAGACACACCATAGACTCAGAAAAAACTCATAGTAAGTATCTTGTAAATAGAAAGAGCTAGGCCTTAATTTCTTTTTCTTGGTATTTCTAGGATTTAATTTCTACTTTCTTACTGGGCCATCCCCTGACTGGACACACATTTCTTGTATTCTTTGACCTTCAATCTCAGTAATCTAAGGTTGCTTTTTGATGCTGAAACACTTTCCAAGTCTACAATGATGAAATGTTTTCTCAAACATAAGACATTCTTAAAATATCTATGCATTTTAAAAAATTCATCAAGCTGTATTCTTGTGATTTGTGTATCTTTTGAACATCCTATATAATAAAAGGGTAATATGCAAATTGACCCTAACAGCAGAATGACTGGGAATGACTGGTCACTATGACACACACTGACCACCAGGCAGATGCTCAATGCAGGAGCTGCCCTCTGGTGGTCAATGTGTTCCCACAGGGGCAGCTCTGCTCAGCCACAAGCCAGGCTGACGGCTGCCAGCACAGCGGTGATGGGAGAGCCTCTCCTGCCTCCTCAGCAGCGCTAAGGATGTCCGACTGCAGCTTAGGCCTGCTCCCCGCTGGCAAGTGGACATCCCCCGAGGGCTCCCAGGCTGCCAGAGGGATATCTGATTGCCAGCTTAGGCCCGATCCCCCGGGGAGCAGGCCTAAACCAGCAGGTGGACATCCCCCGAGCGATCCCAGACTGCAAGAGGGCACAGGCTGGGCTGAGGACCCCCCCCCCCTCCCAGTGCACAAGTTTTTGTGCACCGGGCCTCTAGTGTGATTATAAAAGAAAAGTTTCCTTTAGAAAACCTAAAAACAATATACATACACACATTTTTAAAATTTCCTCCACTGTAACTGCGATAGCTTTACATGTTTAATTTAAATAATTACACAATTTTGTGTATTTTGAAAGTAAGCTTTTGGGAGAAAGATACTGAAAGGTTCAGAGTGGACTGGGGTTGTTCAACTATGACATGAGGCCATAATGTACCAAAAGAACTTTTATTTCAGGCACCTGGGTACAGGTGGGCTGAGTCCAAAAAAGAAATCAGCAGAGACTGAAGGGAGAGGCAAGTTTTTATTAACTTCTGCTGGCTGCAAACAGTTCTGCTGAAGTAGGGTCTGGTCCTTCATTCCTCCCATTGCCAGATGTTTAGTGGTTATCTGGGCTATGCAGTGTTCAAGGCTGCAAGCTTTCTGCAAGATATCTGCTAAGCACAATAAGTTTCCTCTGCCCCATTTCATTCTCTTTAACCCTTTCAGATACAACCTCTCTATATAAAAAGGCCTGCAGGGGAGGGCAGTTGGGGGCGACCAGGTCACAGGGGAGGGCAATTGGGGCGATCAGGCCTGCAGAGGAGAGCCGTTGGGGCGATCAGGCCTGCAGAGGAGAGCCGTTGGGGGCAACCAGGCCAGCAGGGAGGAAAGTTGGGGGCATTAGGCAGGCAGGCAGGTGAGTGGTTAGGAGCCAGTGGTCCTGGATTACAAGAGGGATGTCCAACTGTCGGTTTAGGCCCGAGGGATCCTGGATTGGAGAGGGTGCAGGCCGGGGCTGAGGGACACCCCCTTTCCCCGTGCACGAATTTCGTGAATCAGGCCTCTTGTCTATATAATAAAAGCCTAGTGACCGTTATGGTGGAACAACTGGAATGACCAGTCGCTATGATGCACACTAACCACCCGGGGGCAGATGCTCAATGTAGGAGTTGGCCCCCTGGTGGTCAGTGTCCTCCCACAGGGGGAGCGCTGCTCAGCCAGAAGCCATGCTCATGGCTGGTGAGCACAGCAGCAGTGGCGGGAGCCCCTCCTGCCTCTGCGGCAGCACTAAGGAGCAGCGAGTGCAATCAGTAAGGAGCAGTGAGCAGGCGGGCAGTAAGGAGCGAGGAATTCCAGACTGGGAGGGAGCAGACCGGGCTGAGGGACTCCCCATTCCTAGTGCATGAATTTCGTGCACTGAGCCTTTAGTATTTTATGTTCTCTTAACAGAAACCAGAACTATTTGAGGGGTGTATTCTATTAATAATTACTACTAGTCGCTTTTTATTAAAATAATACAGCAAAACTACTATATAGAATTTTTATTAACCAACCAACATTTCATGGTAATTACTTGTGGAAAATGAAACATGGGAATAATTATTTAGTATTATACTATTCAAAGTGAAAATCAAATTGAGCCAGGTCTCCTAAGGCTTGCTATCTCAAGTTTCCAAATAGATTAGGTTTTATCAAGGAAGTACTACCAAGATAAAAGAGTAACATTAAAATTCTGAAAGAAAACTGAAAAAAGTAACTTCACTACTATAAAAAAAGATAAAGAAACAGTAAGTTTTCATTTGATGAGCAACATTCAGCTTATGACATTAGAAGTACAACTGGTCACAACTTCTTATGAGCCACAACCTTGATAGAAATTCAAAAATTACAAATGTATATTTCCCCCAAAAGCCATGCCCACTGTATTTCAAGTCAGTCTCGGCAATAAGATTGGTGCTCAGATTAAGAAACATGCTAACCAATGAACAAATGTTCTTGAACTGTTATGTAAGTTGGAGATACTTACTTTAGTCTTATGATACTTGGGTTTATGGTCACAAGGTTAGTTTTACTGCCAACATCTTTACTAACATTTCCTGTTGTTGGGGGAAGGTTACACCTGAAATTTTGAAGAAATTATTTTCAAAATACAACTTGAAAAAATAAAATACATACACACAAATACATTCATACATATGTGATTACTGTCATTTTTTTGAATTTATTGAATTTATTGGGGTAACGCTGGTTCATAAAATTACACAGGTTTCAGGTGCGCAATTCCACAACACATCATCTGTACATGGTTTTGTGTGTTCACTACCCCAAGTCAAGTCTCCATCTATCACCATTTATCTGTCCTACACTATCCTCCACCTCCCCTGCCCATTACCACTTTTTTTTTAGAAAATCATTGATGTTAAGATTCCTCAGATTTCATCCAACTTGCATTTAAAACTATTTAATAAGTGCTGAACTCTTAATTGATTCAACATTGCATATAATATACAAATTTGATAAGTGACTTCAACATTGATTAAGACCTTTATAAATAACAATACTAGAAATGACAATTAAATCTTGCCTAGCTTTTAAAGAGTTCACACTCTTCCGATTAAAATTATTTATATTGATTATATTCCCACAGTGGTATAATCACCAATTTACAGATTTTAAAACATTGAGGCATTGTGGTGAAGGTTATAGAGTCTGCCAGAACAAAGATTACATTAAAAAAATTAAGCCCTGACTGGTTTGGCTCAGTGGATAGAGCGTCGGCCTGCGGACTGAGGGGTCCCAGGTTCGATTCCAGTCAAGGGCATATACCTTGGTTGCAGGCATATCCCCAGTGGGGAGTGTGCAGGAGGCAGCTGATTGATGTTTCTCTCTCATTAGTGTTTCTAATTCTCTATCCCTCTCCCTCTCCCTTTCTCTCTGTAAAAAAATCAATAAAATATATTAAAAAATAAAATAAAAAAATTAAAATCCCCTGATTCCCATATGGATAGTTTTCCCACCAAATTATGCTGTTAATAAATAAAATCCTAATGTTCTTATAATGATGTTTAGTACTCTTCTGAGTACTAATTTTTTTAAAATTGAAAAAAAAAATAAAAATTGTAATTCTGAGTAAATCTATTCCTGTCACACAAAAAAGGGAAAGTTAGTTATGACTCCCTAAGTATCATTCACAGAATTTTAAGTAGACCAATTCTTTAAAACTATACATACAAAGGGAGCATCTCTAGGTATTTCCTTAAGGAAGGCTACTGAAAGTTTATGTGTTCTGAGGAATGAAGTTGAAAATCCTATTACATGCTCTATTAAACACACAAACAAATGAAATGTGCACTTCCCACCTTGATAAAAAGATTTATCTGAAAACAATTAAATATAGCACTTTGGAATAATACTAATCATAGATAAAACATCAGCAATGACCTCATTAGTGGGACTTCCTGTAACAAATCTACTTCCTAGGGCAGTCTCATATTCTGTTGAAGAATAAAAGGTTATTTTCACATACAATAGTATCAAAGGAGAGTTCTAGAGGAAATACTGGGTGTGATATATCCTATCTAATAATAGACAAACATGGTAATTAACCATACCTCCACTACGCTTACCAATGGCTAATCAGGGTGATATGCAAATTAACTGCCAACCAAGATGGCGGCCGGCAGCCATACAGCTGAAGCGAACATGAGGCTTGCTTGCTCCAGTGATGGAGGAAGCCAAGGTTCCCCGTCTGCCGCAGCCGGGCTCTGAGCTCCAGTCTAAGCAACAATGTTGCAATTATAGAAGCTAAACAAACCCAGATACCTGCTTTCAGCCAGCGCTCAGAGCTGGAGCCTCAACAAAGTTCAATTAC